TTTTTTTTTTTTTTTTTTTTTTTTTTTTTTTTTTTTTTTTTTTTTTTGCCTCTCATTTTCTTTTATGTATATCAAATAATAATATTATTAATGTTTTAATCTTGATTAAAAATAATAATTTGTTAGAACACAAAATAAGTTAATATTAAGAAAAAAAATAACCGTTATATTATGGATTTTAAAATTTGAATATTGATGGGTGTGTGAAAACGAGCATTATATTTGGTAAATATATAAATAAATATACATATATATATATATATATGTCCTCCTCAGCTCCAACTCAACAAACAAAACTCACACGTGTTTGAAATTAAATCATGCCCACTTGTTTTTCCACGTGTAGACCGATCCACTTGTATTTCTAATTTATTTATTTAAGAAAATTCCACACAGATATTTTGCACATTAATTTTATATAAACTAAGAAACAACAATAAATTATTACACATATTTTTATGAGTAGGTTGAGCTGTAATTATTAATGGTGGTTTGATCGGGATGGGGCCCGTGGTTAATGTCGGTGGCACAAGGCGGAGGCCTACGGTGGCTCCTCCTCCTCCTCCCCCCGAGATCTCACCCACCGAACTTCAGTTTTAGCTACTTCCCCAATTCCCTCGATCTACAGCTGGCATTGTGGGTCCGCTCATTAATACCCCTGTTTCCAAACAAAGATTATTTATGTCATTATTTATTGTCGCTCTCATATCATCAAGTGATTATTCTTTTTAATTTTTAAATAATTTGTTATTTTTTAAATATTTATAAAAAATCAATAATAATATTACCACTTTTTTTTTAATACCATGAGTAATTTTTCAACCGTATTGGCTATAACGTCAACAGATATTTACTAATAAAAATATATATTTTTATTAGTTGGGTATCGTAAAAAAATTTTAAACATTCGTGGGTAAAAAAACAAGAATCGAAAGATCTAAACAAAAACATGAAATAAATTTAGTTGGTCCACTTAATAAAGTAAGTTTATTATCTTGAATTATTTTTTAAAAAAAATTAATGTAAGGTTGTTGGATTATTGTCAGGATTAGTAAAATTTAATATTATATTTAATTGAGGATAACCATTAATTATAAGTTTTATTTATACACGTAAGTTTTTAGCTTCCATATTTAAGAAATTAATATTAATATATGGTAATGTATTAAAATGCTAAGATAGAATTGGATTTAACCTTCGTGTCACAATACATTCAATGAGCCGATGCTATAATTAATCATTAAATTAAAAAAAAAAAAAAAACTTAGTTAGATATTAAAGAAAAGAAAAAAGAATAAAAGGCAGGCAATGATTGCCACATTTAGGATGGAAGAAACATATCAACAACGTTAAAAGGATGAAATATCACATTCAAACCTAATTGAATTTTCATGTGATTATATGTGACATTTTTTTTTCTTTAGACAATTTCATGTGACTTACCTCAAACATTCTAAACATGTGAACTTGGTCTCTAACTTTGCCTTTTCTTTTCTTAATTTCAATCCTCAAACCTTAAAATATATTGTCCTTATATTTAACCATGTTATTTGTTACGAATAATAATTAGTGTGCTCACATGAATTTTCTCAAAGTTCACATTGGTGTCACGTGAGAAGGTTGTCGGCAACAAGATTTATTCCGCCATTAGGATCGAAAGCGAAACAGCTAACTAAATAAACTACTTAACTCAATTTGAATAGTGTAAAGGTGTCTCGATCATTACTACATATTTCTAGTCAACGTTATATTGATTTTTTTTTTCACTTTAATAGACTTCCTCCATAAAAATAGTTTTAAAATATTTATTATGACATTGATGAACCGATACCACATGCAAATGAGAGTGATCTTCACGATAGGACGACTAAGAATGACTTAAAAGATATATCTTTCTTTTCGTTTGCTCGATCGTAGGAACTTTATGGTTAAATGTGTATTGCCTAAAGCAATTTTTTGTTGAGTGACATCGTCGAAACTTTCCTGTGATGCACGTGAGTGAAAACAAATATACACTTTTTTTTGGATAACTCAATCATAGAAATTCAAAGATTCAGCATGTTTTGTTTGTAGCAATTTTGGGTGATCTTTTAAGAATTTTTATAAGATGCATGTGAGTGAGAACAAAGTATCTTAAAAAGATTTTGTGTTGGTCTATATCTTAAAAGGATTTGTGTTGGTACGTGAATATGTAACTTTTAAATATGGGTGTGATCAAGTGGTATTGTAAAGAATATTTTAATGTAACTTTGAAGAGAATAAAAAAGGGATCCAAAAGGAATATACATGAGAGCCATTGTGAAATAAGCTCCAAGAAGGGTACTGAATGAATGACGAAGGTGGGGCCCTTAAATTCCCGGAAAGGGCAGTACCCTTTAGCCGAAGAAACAAGGGAAGTACTAGGTTGGAGAAGGAGCAAATGAGTAAATTAGGGCGTGTCGTCCGTTGGCCATAAGGGTATTTTGGACTATTCCCAGTTAAGCTGTCCCAAAAGATAAGGGATCCTATCCCTTCCAGCGGTTCGAGGATAGACCAGAACCAGCAGCTTTCTCCAACTTGCTTGACGTTATCACCTCTAAATTTCCGCCACTATATAATTTCCTTTTTTTCTCCTCTCTTAGTAATTTGAATTTTTTAGAATATTATATAAAAGTCAATATAAAGTTTTTAATATTAATTTTGTTGAATTTTATGAGATTATTATTGGTTAGTCTATGGACAATCTTATAATTTTATTTTTATATTCAATATATGTTTTATAATATTATAATGTAAAAGATTTGTCTTTTATATATATATTTATTTATTATTATTATTATTGTACAAAAACGTTTCTATTTATTTTCTATATTTTAAATTTTGTAATAACATTAATGAAATATCAAATAGTTTCGTAGAATTTAATCCTCTATTATTAATAAAGCTTTTTTAACCCATTTAAATACGTCCAAATCTAAGATAAATTTATTATTATTATACAAAACACAAATCAATTATCAATAAATATTATGAGATTGTTATTATAAAAATACCAACTTTGATGAGATGGTGAATAATATAATTAATGGTTCATTGAATTCATAATTATTTTTTCACAATAAGTGAAATTTACTCAAAAGTATAGATTATTGTGAAAAACAGCTAGCCTCACCAAATTTTAAATTTCAGTTTTTTATTTTACTAAAAAAATTGTTTTTTTAATTCTAAGTCAAAACATTAGAGATGAGTGTTATTAATAAGTAAAATTAATATATATTTTTTTGTATGGAAAAAGCTGATTATTTTATTTAATACGCCCGCAGAAAACGATGCAATAAGAAATTACTAAAATATCTCAATTATTATATTTAATAAAATCAATAATAATGAGTGGAATACAACCCACCAATTTCCTTTTTGAAAAGAAAATAAATAAATATTTGAAAAAATCACATAACACAAAATTTTATTTGTTGCGTGCAAGATTAAAATAATGTGAAAATAGTAAACCATTGACTCGGTCAAAGTGGCTATTTGAATAAACTTTTCCACGTGTTATCTTAATTCAAAGATTTAATTTTATGGTTATCATAATCTAAAGCTAAACATGGTCTTCTTTGATTATTAACTTGACTTAATCTAAAGCTAACCTTTTTATTTAGATGATGTTGGGCTTACAAATTCTGGGTGGGCCCAAAATATGTACGAGGCTTAAAACAGTAGGCCCATCTAGTAGCTGTAAGACAAAGCATGGATCAGTCTCGTATTAACTTAGGCCCACCAAAGCAGGCTCGGCCCAATAAACCCTTTGGATCTCAATAACAATCTCGATGAAATTGTTACTTTTATTTTGTAATATTTTTTTTTATAAATAATATATATTCTTTAATTTTTTTAAAACTAAAATTAACATATACCAATGGAAAATCAATTAATAGGATTAAATTTATGGATATATAATAAAAGAATGATTTAAAATATTAAAAAAAGTAAATAAAAATATGTATTTATTATTGTAAATTATTTCAAACATAAAATAATTAATGATTCATTGACTAAATTTTAATTACTATATTTGTTATTTCATGTTATTTATTAAAATCAGCTTTTCCAAAAAAAATAAAATAAAATAAAATAAATAATAACAAAATAGAAAAACCAGAATTTAGATAGATTTTTCAAAAGGCATCCGTGAAAAAAGGAATAATATGAAAGGAAAAGCAAGAACTCGAAATCGAAAAACACACAACAAATTCCTGTGATTTCGTTGAATCGAAAATCGGCAGCAGGGTTTGTGTTTTAAGCCCCGAAAGGGCCCAAATCAAAAGCGTTTATTAAATTCAATTCAATTTCCCATGCTCATCACCACGGATCATCGCCTAAATTTAACCTCCTAATTTAATCTCACTCTCTTCGCTTTATTAACGATCTTAATCACCATGGGAAAGCGCAAGCGAGACACTGATCAGACCCTCCCCGATCGTCCTTTTCATTTTTCTGGTATGCCCTTCTTTTCCTTTGTAACCCATCATGCTCTGTTTCTGTTTGTTGAAATGTCTGTAAGAGATTATTCCTTTGCGTCGATACAGAGTTTTGGTTAAATCACCTTTGTTTGAGCGGCATGGGTTTTGTAAGTAATTGGCATTTTTAGAATTTCAATCCGATCTATGAGAGTTTTCCACAAGAATATATTGGGGATTGTTTTGGCCTTTAAGGATGTAGTTTGTTGACCAATCTCAGTCAATTGGCTACTTCAATACCTTTTAGAATTAGTTTTGGTTGAATGTTTTGGTAGAACTGATGTATTCTTCTGATTTTCCTATGTTTTGAATGATAAAATGGAACATGATCATACGTATGTTGCAGGGCCAGTGACTTTTTCAAATCAAATGGATGTGCGGTCGGAAGAGGTTTGTACTCTTTTGTTTGCTTCAGACATTCTATTTTAAAAATGAGAAACTGTTCATACTTTGTTATTAAACTTGCTTTCTTCCTTGACTTATCTAGTTCAAGTTTGAGTGAGTAGGCAAAATAGTAGTTCAAACCTTTCCCTTACTATAGAAACATTTAGATCCCTCCTTTTAGTTGATGGCAATCTATTAAAGCTATGTTGCATTGAACAAGCAGGATCAGACTCTTGCCCGCCCGGTATTCATGAAACGTTTATGTCATCAGTATAGCCACCAATATTATCGGCGAGGTTCAATCAGTCAAGCAAATGCATCCACCTCCTGTGAAAACCGAGTGAGAACCATACTTGAAGAGCGACCCGCTTTTAAGTTTGCTGCTCATCGCAACTCGGAGTTTCCAGACCATATAGGTATATGTTCTGAAGTTCCTAAACATGGTCATGCACATTTTTCAGTCGGGAATGAGAGGACTTTTTGCGATGACATGTTCACTTGTAATGCTATTAAATGTTATAGGATGTTTGAAAATTCATTCCCTACTTCTAATCAAATGAAATGTAACGGCCCAAAGGGGTGGATTGTGAGATCCCACGTCGGTTGGAGAGGAGAATGAAACATTCCTTATAAGGGTGTGGAAACCTCTACTTAGTAAATGTGTTTTAAAACCATGAGACTGATGCGATATGTAACAAGCTAAAGCAGCGGTTGGAGAGGAGAATGAAACATTCCTTATAAGGGTGTGGAAACCTCTACTTAGTAAATGTGTTTTAAAACCATGAGGCTGATGCGATATGTAACAAGCTAAAGCAGACATATCTGCTAGAGGTGGACCTTAAAACATAGATTATGCTAGAAAGGTGGTTTGTATGCCATATCTCAAATAAATTAAATTCCAACATTTCGTCTGGTTGGATGACACGGCACCTTGCTTTAAATTAGAGTTCATGTTCTTTGTGACATGAACATATTGATTATGAAACACTTTACAAAGGAAAAAGTAAACTTCAGTACTTGGAATTCTGGATAAAGAACAGTCAATTGTGTTGCATGAAACACTTACAAAGGGAAATGTCCTAAAAATATATCATAGACCTCGAAACCAAGCTGGAATTTCTATGTCGATAAATTCTAAAGATCATCTAGAATTGCTTCTTCTACATTGATGATGATGATGTTGTTCTGTATTAACTCAAACTTTTTGCATTGATTTTAGATGGCATTGAGCGCTCATTTTGGGGGCCAGAAAGGATAAGGTACAATTCCTTAGGGAAGGATGCAATATCATCTAATGGAATGAGGATGCTATGTGGGATTTGCCATAAGCTGATGAGACGAAAGCTTTGCTCTCTCGGCAACACACTTTCTTCTCGCGAACTTCCCGTTGCTGCAGTTTTGGTTTGTGGCCATGTCTATCATGCAGACTGTCTGGAGAACCGGCCAAACGTCGAAGATAGGAGCGATCCGCCTTGTCCATTGTGCACGGAACCGCCTATTGACGATTCAAAAGGAGAACAGGAATGAGTTGAGCTGTACATATGATATCACATCACACCAACAATAGGGGAATTAAGCTTGGCATTGAATAGGTGGAGTTTTTTGCATCCTCAACTATTTTTCTATGAACCAATCTATATCTATCACTGTCTTTTTGGATGGCTGTGACTTGAAAAGGAAAATGGTAGCTTTAAATCACAACGTTACCGAAAATAGTGATATCGATTCGAGGATTTGTGCTCCGTGGATTGGTTTTTGCGTAGAAGTAGAGTGAAGTTTTGTTAAGTAGCAGCAGAGGAATTTAGGTGGAGACATTTATGTACTTCTTTAGGGCAATGTATATTTTAAAGAATAAAGATATCATGACCGTAGAGATTTCCCCTTTTCCTTTTAGAAGAGATGGTAATGAGTAATCCATGTCTTCAGTAGATCATTTGTTTATACACGAATCATTAAGTTCTTTTCTTCACAACAAAGAAAGGAAGAGTGAAAACAAGATGAGATGCGCACAGAATCACCTTTTGAAGCAAAGGCCGCAAAGGCAGCCATTGATACCTACATTGGCAGCGAAGGCAGCCATTGATACCTAAAATACCAACCAATCTCAATCTCAATGTGTGAGATCTCCAACTGAGTTGGAGAGAGAGCAAACCATTTCTTATAAGAGTGTGGAAACTTCTCTCTAGTAGACGCATTTATAACGGACATGAGGTTGACGGCAATACGTAACGAACAAAAGCGAACAATATCTGCTAGCGGTGGGTTTGAGCTATTACAAATGGTATCAGAGTCTGTGCCAGCGAGGACGTTGGGTCCCCATGGAGGTGGATTGTGAGATCTCACCTCGATTGGAGAGGAGAATCAATCATCATTTCTTATAAAGGGGTAGAAAACTCTCCTAGTAAGTTTGTTTTAAAACTGTGAGACTGCCGACAATATGTAAGATATCGAAGCAGATAATATCTGCTAGCGGTGGAGTTAATTATTTATCTTAATCTCGTTAACAAATTCTGATAATAACAATATATGTGATAGTCATTCTTTGGCATTCATTTTAGTTTTATGTTGTTTGAGTGATTCAGTTTTACTTAGAATTGGAATTTGTTTATTAAGGGTGTAATTATTGATTATGTAAAGCCAAAAATACACACTTTAAATTATTATCCCATATAATAAAATTAATATACATACAAAATCAACTGAAAACATCTTTCATTCATTGTCATCCCATTTCCTTAAACTTTGATCTTCCCAGCCTGCCTTTTGTTTTTAGGTAAGTAATGAATATCTGCTCAAAAATTACCAAAAAAACAATAAGAAAATAAACTCCCAAAAATGAAAACAAAAATAAGTAATCAACTTTCTAAATATATATACTTATTCAGCTTATTATTAAAACTCGAAACTAAGCGTCGTCCCACAATCCCTTTCGATTTATGCTCGAAATTCACCATTTTGGTTATACATTCTCAAGCATTTAGGAAAAAAATATCGATATAATCATACGATCAATAAGAGCTTCACGTATTTACTTCGCTCCATCGAAGAACTTCTTCCTCAACTTTAACTTGGGCGATATCCAATCCGAAAAGTTAGCGATCATAAACCCCAAAAATACCTACGAAATTAAACCAAAATCAACCAAATATAACACAATAGGAATAGGAATAGGAATAGGAATAGGAAATTTTTGATTGCTTACTTGAAGGGATCCAAAAATATAAACCAAAGAATAGTGGCGGCCATGGAGTAGCATGTCTCCCACCATGGCTAGCGGTATGGTTAGCGAGGCACCTAAAGCAGCTATAAGTGGGCTCGTCCAAACAACACCCATTGCCCTGAAATTACCCATTCTTTCAAAAATTGACAAACCCATTTAAAAAGTTTCTAACTTTGTATGAACTTTGAGCTCTCACCAGAGGTAATCTGAGACGAAATTTGATACAAAGCAATTTGCAATCACTATTTCTGCTACTTTGGTGGATTGTGGTATGCCAAATTTGGGCTCTATTCCGATTGCTTTCAATGGCCATACTGCAATAAATAAATAAGTGTGTCTTATAAATCACGGATCTCTATAATGTTATGATATTGTCCACTTTAATGATAAGCTCTCGTAGTTTTGTTTTGAGTTTCTCCAAAAAAAAACCTTATTCTAATGGAGACAGTATTATTTGATTATAAACTCAGGAATTAATCGAAGAGGAAGTGATTTCTTACTTAGCCACCAGAGAGTTGTGAGAGTGAATAACCCAACATATCCCAGAAATTTCTGCATATCAACCTTCTCCCCTTCTTCCCCTGCATACTTCTTCAAAAGCACTGCATAATCATATCAAATTCATTAAAAAAATCTAATATTTTTCCTTATTTTTATGTTATTTAAGCCATTTACGGACCAAAACTAACCGTAGTAGAGCCCGTCCGTGAAAGCAGAGAGCAGAGCAAATACATCTCCGACATACGAATGCTTTTCATGTCTAAAAATAAACGCAATATCTTCATCGGTTTGGTAGGATAGTGTTGTTACTTATATATCATAAATCTAAATAGACGTACCTGGAAGAGGATTGAGCTTCATCACGAGCCCATGTCTTTCCGATGGTGGTCATAGCGACCCCGGCCATGCTGACAAAGACTGCAACAACGTTTACTATGCTTAGAGATTGTCTTTCGAAACATGCGTCGAGTATGAGTGTGAAGAGACCCGACGTTGAGAACAATATGGTGGTGGTTGCTACACTCGTTCTTGCTAATGCTGCATTTGTAAAATACTGCACAGTTTTTATAATTTTAGGCCCCGTTTGATAACTAAATAAAGTCGAAAGAGACTGTTTGATAACTAAATAAAGTCGAAAGAGACTCGAATTACTGACCTCCGAGACAAACCAGATGGGACCAATAGCAAGAGCCAAAACAGCTATTTTCTTTGTACTAAACGATGTTTCTTGTGTTCCATTTTCAGCTTCACATTCGCAACGATCGTTATTACTAACACTCCCCTTTTCTTGTTCTTCACATTCAATGTTCACCACACAAAGAACATCACCATTTTCCACCTCGGATATATTATTATTATTATTATTATTATTATTATTAATATTATTATTATTATTATCTTTATCTTGTTCTTGAATCTCTGCAACTTCTTTAGAATTTCCATTTCGAAAATGGCTTCTGAATAGCTTCACCAAGCATTCTCTAAGGAAGGCAATTGCAAGATAAGCCACCAACATGGAGGTTCCGACATATGTCATCACAAACGGATGCTCGTAATCCATAAAAATACTCTATAAAACATAAATTTAAAGCTTTTGAATTAGGTGGTGATTTAGCGAGATATGAACATAAGAAAAAAGAAATTATGTATCGACTTCATCTTTTCCGTTAGAAGTAAAAGTAGATACCTGTGTGATCTCTGCAGAGGCGACCCATATGACCACGACCACAACGAGAAGAATTAGCCCTCCTTTATACTTCCAAGCCATGAAAATACAATAATATTACACAAAAACAAAAACTTTATTGGTATTGTGAGAAATAAATGGAATGGTTATAAGCTTTAGAGCTTTGCTCTTAAAATCATGCTCTTTATATACCTATTTTCATGCATGGTGATGAAGAAATTAAAAAAGTTATCCATTTTGTTCAAAGAGAGGGAAGATTTTGTAAGGTTGTGGTGAAGGTGGAGCTCCCAAAAGTCTAAAATGGAGTGTTATTAAAGAACATATGGATATTGCAGTTCATTGGATTCAGCTAAGTCTTTTTTTTACTCTGTCATGTCTCTCTCTTTTTCTCTGTGGCTGGTCGTGTTTGAAGCCAATATGTTCTTTTTCTCTATTCTTACGTATTTCTATTTCCTATCAACTTTCTTTATCAAACTCTTAGACTAAACTATTTCCTCCCGACTCTCGTAAAATAACACATGTCGCTCAACTATAACTGATTGTGATGACTATACATGAATGAATCGAGATCACACTTAGAATAAACTTTGAAAATATGAAATTACGATCAATGAAATGTTAAGAGAATTCATAGTTATTACCATGACTCAATGATACGAATTTCATAATTAAACATATTTATCTTAGAACAATTTTATGTTATGTGAAGTTTTAAATTTTTTTCTATAAAGTACGTGAGTGTGTAAAAAGAACATATATACTAGTTTTTTTATTTGTAAAAATTAGTTATAAATAAATATGTTGAGATATAATATTTGAAGTATATATTATTTATAGAATATATCTTGTATATTATATTTTAATATTCTTTTTTTATAATTTGATTTATAATATATTTTATTTTATTCTCAATATTAAATTATTTTATACTTTTTCGGTGAATAGGTATTAATTATTAGCTTGTATGCTATCTAAAGCGTATGAATATCAATGAGAATACACTATCTTCTTAATTCTATTTTTATTTCTCATTCTTAACAAAATGACGTGATTATGTTGTAAATGATATATAGAAATGTTGAGGCTCAAAAGATATCAAATTTGGATTGAAAATCTAAGTTAAAAAATACTTAACAATAATAAACGTTATATTTTTTTTATTATGATAATTTAATTTTCTTAACCAAATAAACGTTACCTTACACTTCCGCTGAGTCTAACGAGGCTCAGGTGCGGAGCCTTCCACTGTGGACCGAGACTAGGCAAAGGTAGAACACCAAACTATGTTGAGCCTCTTGATTTTCTTTTTTTTTTTTTTTTTTTTGAAATTAAGTTCCTTATTATTAATCGTGATTCATTCCATTAACAAAAGACAACAATTTAAATGTGTTCATATTTATTTAATAAAAATATGAAGATATTAATGTATTACATTAATAAAAATATATAATAATTTAATTTTCTGACAGAAGATAAGGAGATGAAGACTGTGAGACCAACTTTGACAATTCTGACGTCACCAAGTCCTGTATTCAATTTTCAATTTCGGTCTTTTTTTTTTCTTTTTTTTTTTTTTTTTGACCTTTCTCATATATTTTTTCCCCAACCTAACCTAATTATTAACCCTGATTCTAATAAGTTACTTTCTAGTGGTTACTTTGTCAAATAAATTAAATTAATTTTTTTTTTATATTTTAAAACATTAAGCTTATAAATAGCATTTTCACTTATAGATTTATCTAATTTTTACTAATGGGGCTTTCCTTCTAGGTAAATAATTAATTTTATGTTTTTTAACGATTACTTAAAAAATTACTAATTAATGATTTTGAAATGATTTTGAAGAAAAAATAATTGTCGGTTCGTGGACATAGCTTGATCGTGCTATACATCCCATGGGATTATAAGATATGTTTGTCCCATTAGAGAAAGTCTCCTTAGAGTTGTGATTGAGAGAATATTTT